ACCGTGTCGAAATTTTTTAGGAAATGCATGCCCAGCACTATGCAAGGGATCGAGCTGATGATATGGCGCCGTTGTGCAATGCCTTTCGGAAAGGCCAAGAATGTAGTTCCGGACAGGATTGACAAAAGACGCGCGACGCGACTGGTGGAGTGGCGCGAAAAGACGCGCGACGCGGCCGATGGAGAGGCGCGAAAAGACGCGCGACGCGACGGTGGAGCGGCGGGGTGCATGATGCGAATGGTAACCTGACATCTGCTGTCAGTTTATTACTGTTCTGGGATATGCGAGCGACGTGTTGAACACCACTTGGTTTAATGCCCTTATATATATATATATATATATATATATATATATATATATATATATGTGTGTGTGTGTGGTGTGTGTGTGTGTGTAACGCAAATAGTTAAATAAATATAACGTTTCACTGACACGAAAAAGGCGTGTGCCTATGTAAATTCCTAGTTGAAAACTAATACTTTTCATCGAACCGATACAGAAACATCCACAATACAACCAGCATCACATAATTGTAAACAGGGCGATTTGAGCCTGAGCAGTCCCCCCGAACCGACATGGTCGACATGTCACGGTAATCTCCTCCTGTGTCGCGAGCGTCACTGGCTGTCGCGCCTCTATCCGTTGTCGACCGTCCGGTTTCCGGACTGGGCTCCAGCTGAAACCGTGTAAGCACAGGAGAGAGACAGCTCGCGGCATGAAGCTCGGCTAATCTGCCGCCGGTATGCCCAGAGTTTGAGCCCTGGCGGCTATTCCGGCAGCACGGCCGTTGCCAGCGCAGCACAGGTCGGTTGCTGGTGCTGCACTCTGTGAGGACGTCCCGTCCGAGACATGCACTACGCATGCTTGTAAAAGCTACACGTTTGCAGTGAATTAATATCACCAGCTTGGCCATGCGGGTGAAAACATCTTGCTGTAGGTTGTCGAAGGCACAACACATGACTCAGAAATCCATAATGCCTTGTTTAAATGTCCAACTAAACTCATCAAACTACGGCTACAGACAGGAACGTCGAACGACCACATTCAACAGCCATGCGCTGCCTGAAGCCAATGCGCTTGACCTCAATGCAACGCAGCACATCATCGCTGCAGCGAACCTAGTATCGCAGGGCGAAACAACGCACTCAAGACGACAACAGCAACGAATCTTTCCAACCGCTGTTTGGGCCTGACGGAAGCAAACAACACCGCCCAGCCAGATGCGCCGCATCGGTGCGGGACCCTCTGTGTCGTGGGTCGCGCCGGACGCCGAACCGGCAGCGCCTCTACAGGGCGCATGGCACCGTGCCGTCGCGGTCGCCGTACAGTGTCGAGGTGGACACCTGCTGGTAGTACTGCAGCGCGTCGACTGGCGAGACGGAGGGCCGCGGTCGCAGCGCGTGGCGCGTGGCGCACCATGACCATGGCGAACAGTAAGCCCGAGAGCCCGAACAGTAGGCCCGAGAGCATGAACAGCAGGCCCGAGAGCACGAACAGCAGGCCCACGAGCATGAACAGCAGGCCCGAGGGCACGAACAGCAGGCCCGAGGGCACGAACAGCAGAGTCGAGAGCACAAACAGCAGGCCCTAGAGCACGAACAGCAGGCACCCGAACACGAACAGCAGGCCCGAGAGCACGAACAGTAAGCCCGAGAGCCCGAACAGCAGACCCGAGAGCGCGAACAGCAGGCCCGCGAGCACGAACAGCAGGCCCGCGAGCACGAACAGTAGACCCGAGAGCACGAACAGCAGGTCCGAGAGCACGAGCAGCAGCCCCGAGAGCACGAACAGCAGGCCCGAGAGCACGAATCCGCCCGGAAACAGCAGGAACAGGCCCACTGCAACGGCAGGGGGAGGTCGGAACGACAGGCCAAGCCCACCGCGACGGCGGCGGGTCGGTACGACAGGTGCAGCCACGATGCCACAAGGGATGGCCAGGCAAGCGGGCACAAGCACACCGTGCTGCGCAGAGCATCGGTAGAGCCACAGAAGCATATCCAAGGGCACGCACATATGGGTATGGCTGGGCGAGTCAGCAGGGTTTAGCCGGGTTTAGTATGCTTTTCTTAGGTTCAGTTGGGTGCAGATTGTTCCGCTGCCCCACCTCTGAAACCCTACGTCTTGTCTACGTTTAGGACCAGCTTGGAACGCTTAATGAACTGACGCCTAGTACTGTCCCTGCTGATCGCTTGTCCTGACAGAACTTTATGTCATCAGCATGCAAACATAATTTAACGTATCACCAAAACGAATAATATTCCACAACGTGAGGAAACCTGGAACGTGTCGCAACTGTACTTAAATGAATTTGACTGCAATCCCCTTTTCAACCTTTGTCAGAAAAGCATCATTGTGTAGGTTTGCAACCTACGATATGGAATTGTCACCAAAACCAAAACGTTCGAAGAGCAGAGCACACAAACCGACGCCTTCGCCTAAACCTCTGGCTGTGCTACGCTTGCCGACGCCTACGCCTACACCCCCTTGCCTATGCCTACGCTTGCCGACGCCTACGCCTACACTATGCCTATGCCTACGCTTGCCGACGCCTACGGATATACCTGCATCTAACGCAGACAGCTTTTACCGCCTCTGGGACCATCAACGGTGTGTACAAAGGTGGAGACATGACTGGGGGCACTACAGTCTGAAACCCACTAATCTGTTGTTGAGACTCAGCCTTCTTTGTGTTGGGTCATGGCCCCTGCCCTTTTCTGGTTCCCACATTATGGATGGTGGGCTGCCTCAATGTAAGTGCCCCCACCTTAAGGGATATTGTAAAAAACAGGTTGTAAACCCTTTAGGACCATATATGCCTAATAATAACACCGGGCAGTGCCCCTGCATAAACCATCCATATATAATATAGACAGACTGTAATATTTTCGAGTTCCGATTACGCTGTCAGCACCTTTAACTGCTTACTCTGGCTCCTTCCTGGTTGCCTCCGATCGCATCCTGAGTTCCCGACACAGCGTCCTGAGTCCAGTTAGACGGCAGCTGCAGTTGTTCGATCGTCATTCTCTTGAAAACCACCGTCTGTCATGACGACGGCAGATTTGCTAAGCAGGGATAAAAACTTCCGCTTTACAGGATATGATAAGCGACAAAAGTGACATTTTTGCCAGTTATTTGG